CATTTAGTGTTTAGCTATTAAAACGTATAAGCAACGCATAAGCAAGTCATGTACAAGTGAGAACTTTGGACACCCAATCCTTACTTTTATTTGGCAATTAGAATCAGGCCTATATTGTAACTCCTTTGTGTCAACTTGCATAATTACTCAAATGCATTAAGGGTAACAGTCTTGTCTAAGAAACATATTTGGTTTTATAAAATTGGACTCACTGGTGGTACTCACTCGTATTAAAAATAAAAAGGGCAGACTTGCTGTTAAAAGAAAAAAGTTAATATACCATTGGAAAATTGAGACTACACTGAGACAGTAGTAAAAGCTGAACCCATTTAAAAGAAAAGCAAAATCTAAAAATAATTGATTTAACTCTTTTTTTTCTTTTCTTTTAATCCAGTGGTATTTTTTTTTTGTGGGGAACAACAACAACAAAAAAATCTGCTTTTAGTTCTAAACAGTCCATCTAGATCCAACAATGCACTATTCTTGTCACTACATGGAGTTTTGTTGAATACCTAGTACCCACACTGACAAAATTAAACTTTTGTCCCATCTTCATGAGACTAAAATAGGAACCTTAAACTAGAAGGTCATGATCACTGGGTTTAGGAATAAAAACAACTGAACACCTGCAGCCAAAAATATTCTAGTCTCAAATATGTAGATATTTGGGCAAGAGCCCTTTAGACATACTCTTAGAAATTCACAGATTCAGAACTAGCCTGGTCAGATTTTACCATTTTAAAAGGAATGTGTGCACTACTGGGATTTACACTGAATGTAGACTTCCCTCAATACATATCAACGGCCCATCTGAAAAGTTTTATAAGTATTTTGAAAGATAACACACTAATCATAAGTGAAACTTGAGGCATATCCTGATACCATACACAGCACTTTTTGAAATAAAGATTTTAAAAGATTGTAAGAAAAATCAAGGCACATGTTTAACTAAAATGCAGGTTCCCCTCCTCTCTTCTCAGGAGCCAGATAAATTTAAAATGTGAGGGATAAAGTTCCTTCCTTCTCTTTATTTTTTTGACAATAGTAATTCTATTGTGATCATCTAGTGATTTTTTTTTTTAATTTACAAACACATTACTTTAATATGTAGAAGCAAATATCCTAAAGATGAACAAAGCATTTGCTTTTAAAAGTCTTATGTTTAAGTTTAAAAATAAAGGTATTTTAGTTAAGTATAGTTAAATTTCATGATAAAAGCAAACAATTTTATTTCAAGCTCAATAGTATAAAAGTGAGAAGTAGTCTCCACTGTTCAGACTAAAAAACTGATCTTGAAAAATGAATAGGTATTTGGAAAAACTATGCTATGCTATGACAAAACTATTACAGTTCATGCAGTCAGGAAAAATAATTCTCCTTATATTAATGCTTCAGAATACAGCTAACTTAACAGTTTTTACATATACATAACAAATGTAGGCTACAAAAGAGGAAACATCAAGAGAATATACTTATCCATCTGCATTATACTAACAAAATGGCTCTAAAACTTCTAGAACTATTAACCCTTCGTAACTATTCATATGTAATTAATTTACAGGATCTGTCTTCTAATGTTTTTTGTCAATGGGCAAGTCAGAAACAACTAAATCAAATTCAACCTCTAATTCATTAGAATGATAGATCATAAATTCAATATCTACCAATGCACAATATTTTTAAAAAGCAATTAAGGTGTGTCCTATGCTAATTGCTTTTAAACCTCATTCCAAAGCATATTCCATTCAAAATACCCCTGGTATATATATAAGCAGATAATTACCCCTTAGAAACTTCTTGCTCCTTGCAAAGACAGTAGTTACTACAGCAAAACTTTAGAACTGTATGTGGATACATATTTAGCTACTATAAACCTAGAGATGAGAAACACCCCAGCAACATTTAGCATGAATAGATGCATAATCAAGAGAAAAGCCAACACCACATGATTTCACAATATATATACCTGATCACACCATTTCTTTGGAATTAAAACAGAAAAAACAACTAATCAGCGGTATAGAAAGAATGGAGAAAATACAGTAAAAGTGGAAGAAAAAAAACTTAAATGAAAGGATACAGCCTTAAAGCACCAGTCTGAGTTCCGACTGCCAGGATCTTCTGTACAGGATCAAAGGCCAAGGCTGAAGGTTGATAGGGAAATCCATGGCGAACAGTCTAGGGATGGGCAAATGACATCACAGCAACCAAGGCAGCAAGCGGAATTTAAAAACAGAAAAGTCAATAGAGGCATTAGAATCTAGAACCAATTATAAGTGATACAGAACACATACACACGCACTTACTGCCTTAAAAAAAAACAAAACAAACCTATGAAATCTACATTGACAAAACTTATTCACAAAGAATCTGAAATCAAAAGTGTGTGTGTGTATATATATACATATATATCTCCCAATGTTACACTTTGTCTTTCCATAATACTGATATTCTATAGAAGAAAATTTCTTATTAACATTCTATACTATCATGTCTGAGACCAAAATACTAAAGTTTGCGGTAGTCAAAAATTCTGTAAATTAATGTAAAAATGCAATTCATGCTTTATTTCAAGTGTGATAACTTTATTACTTTATTTGGATGCTAAATGCCAAGTACTGCTTAAAAAAAAAAAAAAAAAAGCTGTCCTACAATTAGTTTTGTCGAAGATTCAGTAGGCAATTATCAAACATCTATCCCCAAATTTTGCAATTGTAACAGAATGATACAACATATATTTTTTGCATTTTGCTATTAAACCCTTAATTTTAGGGCATTAAGACAAAAATGTGTATTTAGACATTTTTAAGAAGCTGACATATGAACACACGGTATTTTATGGCAGGTATTAATATCAAGACAAGTTTGTAATTCTCACTGAGCAGCCAGTGAATTAATTCGCTGCATCATTCTTTCCGAATTACAGACCGCTATAGGAATGGTGCCATTAATGGACAAAAATCACAGTACCAACTTTTTAATCAAACATAATGATAAAAAGGACCCTGTGATTTCGTATTTTAAGCTTCTTACCACATTTTAAGGGAAAAGTGACAAGCAAATATCCAGTTGAACAGGTTTGGCTTTTTGGTGAACAATATTCTCATTGGACACTGTTTCCAAAGGAAACTTCGAAGTTGGTGAATTACATTAAAATGTTTGAATATAAAGGCGCTAAGGTTATTAAGAACACTAATTAAAGAATACTAATTAAGAATACGGTAAAATACGTTAGAAGCAACCTTGAAATGACTGCTGCATGTGAAAAGGGGGGGGAAAAAAAAAAAACAAAAGGAGTAAGATGATGTCAATCTCCAAAATAACCCACTAAGCAAATGTTTGCTTGAGGAGGAGCGAGCCCTTCATTCGAGCGAGACATAATTATTAGCGGCGTCCTATTCCCTCGCACTCCCATGAAAAGCCCGAGTCGCCCCCTAAGACGACCCCAATTTTCGCGGGGCTGCGCGCTCCCTTCACCTTGCAGAGCTGAAAGTGCTCGGACTGGAGCGTTTCCTGGATCTCGGGCTCCCGGTTCCCAGCCGGGTGCTGCTGTTGCTGCTGCTGCTGCGAGGCCGAGGACGAGCCGGCGGTCAGGCCGTCCAGCACCTTCCTGATGTTGAATTTCCTCATGGTCTCGGCGGGGCTCCCCCGCAACCCGCGAGGGGGAGGCAAGGGGCGTCCCCCGGCGCGGGAAACGAGCCCGGGCCGAGGGCAGCTTCCACCGAGGACACGGAGGAGTGGGACAGGGTGGGAGCGTGAGGGGACGGAGGCAGCTGGGGAGAAGCACAAGATAATCCAAACAGGAAATACTGCGACGACGAGAGAGCAGCGGCCACCAGAACCCCGGGCGGCGACTCCTCTTCTTCCGAGGCCGCCGCCGCTCGCCGCGGCTGCTGTGGCGCCGCTTCAGCCACCGCCGCCGCCGCCTCGCTCCGCGGCCCGGCGGCACAGCAGTGGCGGCGGCGCCCGGAGCCCGCACTGCCCAGCCTCACCTGGCCGCGGGCTGACTCTGCGCCGCGCCGCCGCCCCGGCTCGCCCCCGCCGCCGCCGCCGCGTCCATGGCCCGCGGCCCCGCCGCTCCTCGCCCGCCCCGGCCCCGCAGTCCCTCGGCGCTTCCTCCCGCTCCTGTGCAGCCGCCTCCTCCTCCTCCCGGGGGTCGCTGGCCCTCCGTCCGCGGCCGCCGCTCGGCCTCCCCGCCGCTCAGCGCCGCTGCCCGCCCGGCATCGCACGCAGGGCGCCCGGGGCGGGTCCCCGCGCTCTCCGCCTCGCTCCTCTGCCTCTGGACCAGCCCGCCCTCGCTCCTTCAGAGCCCCCGCTGCCTTCCTCAGGCGCCGCCGCCGCCCAGGCTCCCGCCCCGCCGCTCCCTCTCGCCTGACAGGGCGCCTCGGCACACGACACCAACGCCCGCCCCGAGCAGCAGCGGCAGCCGCGGTTACAGCGCCGGCCGCGGTGGTGGCGGCAGCTGGGCCTCCGCGGAGCGGGGCTGCTGAGCATGCGCATGCGCCTCGCATTTCACCCCCCCCCCAACCCCGCGTGCCCCCTCCGCGGGAGTGGAGCTGGGGCTTAAATTACCCTCTGCGAAAATCCCAGACCGTGGCTAAATTTCTCCCACCCCAGTCGCCAGGACAGAGTATGCAGCTGCTTCTTTGGCAGCTGAGATAGTAAAAATGTTGACTAACGAGCAGCAGGAAGCCTTTATTTTAAATTCGGTCATTAAAGCGGGGCTTTAGGCTCTCACCCTTTACCGAGGTACACGTTCCTGGCTGCTGGCTGCAATATTGCTTTACTGATGGGCTTTGTTTTGGATTGTTTTGGATCTGATTTTTGAAAAAGAGCTTCTAGACAACGGTTATGTCTGTGGTAAAAGGACGACAGACTTAGGTACTAGAAAAAGAAAGGAGATAAGCCGGGGGGAGGCGGTGGGGGGGATTATTTCCTAAATCTGTTACTGTTGGTCAGATTAAAGCGTGGCCATGGCAGGTAGCTGCTGGAATGGAATCGGCTGCCAGAGGGGAGTCGGTCGAAGGCTGGGTGTCTGCCCGGGCCAGTGACACACCACCCCCGGATTCAGTCCGCCCGCTAAGGTGGGTGGGGATGGAGGCGGGAGCAAAGGTGGAAGTAAACACCGCACTGCCACTCATTTTCAGAACCTACAATCCGCCTTATTATGCTGATTATCCAGTAAGTAAATCCCCAATAGCTTCTCCACTCTGGCGAGGGGAGGAGAGGGATGGATGAAGTGCTTGCTCAGACTTTTACGATCTTCACTGGCACAATCTCGCTTGGAGGTAGAGACAAATGTCTGGCTCAAGTTTGAAACGGCAGAGGTTCATGCTTAGGGGTACCCTCCCAGAGAGTATGTTCAAGAAAGATAGGTAGATGGGAAGCAAGAGGCATTTGATTGGAAAGGATGTGGAAACTGGGGAAGACGTAAGGAAGGATGTAAGTGCATAAAGACTAATTCTAATTCGTGGGGTGGGGGTGGGAAGGGAGGACACTGTCTCGCTAACGTTAATAACTTCGCCTCTGACCGTCCTGCGAAGAGACAAGGAAGAGATACAAAGGGTTTCCTGAACCGAAATCAGAAGCGCCCGCCCCCTTTTTTGTGATTGGCCGTCTCCTACCCCGTTCAGGGAAATTCTCGGCGCGCTATTAGTTGATGTGACAGGCCTTTAAGAATATTCAGCAAACCAACTACGAGAGGTGCTTAGGGATTTGGGGAAATGTAGTTCTCGCTGGAGCTTCCGCATCTAGGGACGGTGTCTGACACTTGGAACCTGTAAAATTGTTTTGTTGCTTATATTTATTGAAACCGTTAATTCACTGGGTACAACGGACAGTAAAACAACTTTGGGGGTTTTCTTAAGCTATTTCCAAACGGCTCTGAAGTTTTTGTTTGCTAATTTAGTTCTCTGAAGCACATTTTGAGTTTGAGTCATTGTGCTAGGTGACGAAGACACAAAAATGCAATACTTGCTTTCGACAAGCTCACCACAGCCTAAAGGGGGCAAACCTCACATAAAAAGAAATCGTACAACAATATGATGATTTCAGTGATGGAATCTTTCACAAGGACTAAAGAGAGTAATTTAACCAGCCAGAGAAGACCTAGATGTGGGGATACACACCATTCAAACCAGATGAATAGGAGTTGACCAGGTGAAGAGGAGGAAGGGCATCGGAAGGTAGGTGGGGAGGTTATCGAAAGTACCTGGAGAGCTTTTTAAAAATACCAAAACCTCCCACAGAGGAAAATTGCAAAAGAGATCATTTCCCCACATAATTTTTTGATCCACCCTTTCATCTAAGTTGGAGATAAATGTATAAAACTCTTCGGAGAAGGGACAGCTTCTTGCCGAGAGGACTTGTGGTGCAGTGGAAAAATCCTAGGCTCTGCTGTCTGCCAGACATGGATTTCAATCCAGGGCTTGGTGATAAGGTTCAATGTTGAGCAAATTCCTTACTTTTCTAAGGGTCAGATTCCTCATATGGAAAATGAAATTCATACTCCCTTCTTCTTAGGGTTTTGTGAGGAAAAACTAGAAACAAATGTAAAGTTTGCACTGTGTTGATACTCAAAAATGTCAGTTTTTCCATCCTACTATCAGGGTCCTTGAGGTGAAAGGGAGTTCAAGTGATCACCAATTTAAGCCAGTCCCCCATTTTTTACTTTATCATTTTTGTTTTGATTTTCATGCCTCATCCCTCTCATCAGATTATGAATTCATCCTGGCATTCCTAAAACTTCAGTTCATAGAGGACACATAACATTTAAGATGAATGTGGAGCATACCTGCTAGTGGAGGTTAGCTTTGTGAACTTGCAATCCATCCTCTCCAAGCTCAAGGAGACCAGGACATATCCAGAATTCTGTTAGGTAAAAAACAACAATGCCCCAAAATATTTACCTTATGATAGCAAAAATAAAATAATGGATCCTCAAACTCACAGTTTTTCTTGTAAGTTAGTTTCAATTGGTCAATTGACTTTTAAAATTAAGATAGAGGGCGCCTGGGTGGCTCAGTCGTTAAGCGGCTGCCTTTGCCTCAGGTCATGATCCCAGAGTCCTGGAATCGAGTCCCACATCAGGCTCCCTGCTCAGCAGGAAGCCTGCTTCTCCCTCTCCCACTCCCCCGCTTGTGTTCCTGCTCTCGCTGTCTCTGTCTCTGTCAATTAAATAAATAAAATCTTTAAAAAAAAATTAAGATAGAAAAAAGAAGAAAATAAAATATGAAATTTAAGAATCAAATTAAAATTAATTAAATTTTAACTGAAGAATAAAATGATTAAAATTTTAATTTATATTATGCATTTTAAAGTTTAACACAGAGGAAGTTTTACCTTAATAATCTCTCAACAAAGATTTATTTTTGTTTGTTTGTTTTAATGAATGAATCAGTGTGTTGACTCCAAACAATTCAGTGGCTTCTGCCTTCGGGCAAGCAACATTCCCTCAAATGGAATTCTTTCTTACCTGCTGGAAAAATGGACCAGGAGATGATGATACAATAGTATATAACACTGACAAATTATAAAGAGTTATATTACATTTAGCTGAGTCAAGACAGCTCAAAACAATACTCAACTGATACAATGAAAAGAAAAAGAAAAAAAGAAAGAAAAATCGACATGGAAAAAGAAAGGCACCTCGTTAAATTACTCAGCATGGGAAGCCAAAGACCAAAGATTCATAATATTCCAGAATCTGCCACTCCTCATTGCCTTGTTCAAAGGCTACCAGGCTAATGAAAGCTCTGTGATTGGCCACTGGATGCTGATCAAGAGGAATAAAATAAACACTGAAAATAAATATTTTAATGAGAAATTATGTTACCAACAAAAACTTTCTGGAAGTAGACCAAATCTGCCTTACCTGCTAGCATTTATTCATATCCACTTCATTTCAATTTATTGAATCCCAAAGGATGTATGTGTGACAATAATTGATTCACTACACCATTTAACAGAATATTGAATTTAAATTATTCATAAATTGCAGGAGAGATATTAGTTAGCTTGCCTAGTTCAGACCCCCTTTTCTGAATGGGTCCCCTAAGTCCTGCTAAGTTGCTGGGCCAGGTGTTTTGACCAGATAATCATGTATTCTGGTCCAAACAGATTGAAGCAGACATCTGAAGTAAGCCAAGCCAAGAGATCGTCTTCTTCTGGGAATTTGGAGTTGAATCAGACAATGCTAATCAGTCTGACTAGGAAGTCATGTGGAGCAGGACTGAAGCTAAGTACGCCCATACTTAGATGGCACATGGTAGAACGAAGCAGACACACAGCCTACAGAGAAATGACTCTATAGAGAATTGGAGAGCAGAGGCCCCATTCCTGATCTTCCATTTTCCTAGTCCTTATTCCTTATGAAATCTAGCTACTCTTTCTTTCCTTCTTTGTATAAATGAGTTTGAATGGGTTTCTGGTTCTTAGAGTCAAAATATTCTGACAGAAATTTAGACACAACCTGCCCCCAATATAAAGGAATGTAGACATACTCTAGCCATCTTTCACTGATAACTTTACCTTCTGCTCACAGTTCTCCTGTAGTTAAGAAGATGCTACAATAATCCAGCAAGGAGTTGATGGTTTACAGTGGAATGGTTAAAAGTAGTGGCTGTGGTGAGAATGGGTCAGATCCTGGATTGTATTTTTCTTAAGATTTGTATTTATGTGTTTGTCAGAGAGAGAGAGAGAGAAAGAGAGCACAAGCAGGGGGAGCAACAGGCAGAGGGAGAAGTAGGCTCCCCACTGAGCAAGGAGCCTGATGCAGGACTTGATCATGACCTGAGCTGAAGGCAGATGCTTAACCAACTGAGCCACCCAGGCATCACCCTGGATTGTATTTTAATGCTAGAGCCAAGAGGATTTGCTGACAGTATGGGGGGGGAAGGAAGAGACAAGGATGATGCCTCGGAGTTTTGTCCTGAGCACTTCAAAGAGTGGTGTTGCAATTTAATTTCCACATTTATGAATCCTGGATAATTTTATTACCATTTGTACCTGAGTAGACTGGACAAATATCATCTGCTAAATAAACAAGCCATGTCTGAGAACAAGCAGAATCCACTACATTGTGCTCTTTGTCAAGCTCTGGCTTTTCTAGAAAAACAAATTAGGCAGATTTTAGTGAGCTTTCATTATTCCATAGATAACCCCATCACTATTTAATATTATTTGTACGACTATCATTAAACTATATATAAAAATGTCTAGATAAAGACCAGTAAGTTCAAGTGAAGAGAAGATTCCAGAAGTGCAAAACAAAACTAATTAAACCAAATGAACTCTTAAGTGTAAAATATGAGGCATTACTATAATATGAGTGAAAAATATTGTCAAATTCTTAAAACCAAGACACTGGGCAATCAGGAGTTCCTCAATAAATTCTCATATATTTCAAATGCTATTTCTACAGTGGCACAATATTTGAGATAAGGAATAATACTCATAGTATTTTCAATTTCAGTATTTTATTTTAGGATTTAAATACTACTGTAAACATTTTGAGAATTTTGCTAAACTTTTACCAGGAGTTCAGCTCTTCTTCTCAAATAACTCCTTATAATTTGGTTTGTGGACTGAAGAGTTAGCATCAAAGTTTGTACTTCATTTTACTTTATGCCATTACTCATGGTTAATACACTGTAGTGACTGAATAAGCTTGGAAAAGCAGTTAAAGTTAGTATTTTGTTCCTTCCCCCAACCTGTTGCTTCCTTCTGTTCCACCCTGCTTGAATCCTCCCCATGCCCCCTCCAATACCTGCAACGCACACACAAAAAAAGAATAAACTGTATATCATAATACTTCTAAAAAGTATTCCCTTAGCAGAGATCAAGCCTACATACCAAGTGTGATTCTGAGGGAATTGCCAAGCCACACTTTCTTTTTTTTCAATTAAACACTACTCAGCACCAGGTCAATAACTAAGTGCTACATACCAACAGAAAACTGAACACTTTTTCCTTCACACAGTGTTGCTTGACGTGGCAGCCCAAAGAGACAGTGTCATCTGCAGCTGACTGGCGTAACAGGGCCTTCCATCTTAGGCTCTGAGCTGGACATAGAGCCATGTCACATCTCTTAGTTATTTGGCTATAGAACTTTCAGATGCTGACTTTCCTTTCTTTCTGGTCAACCTTAAAGAATACCACCCGGGGCACCTGGGTGGCTCAGT